CCCCAAAACCCCAAAACCCCTTTCGATTAAAATTAAGATAAAATAAAGTATAATCAAATCTATTAATTCCATGATAAAATAAAAAATAAACCAATTTATTCACTTTTTAATGAGAAAGTCAAAAGCTTTTTTCAGGTTTCCCTTTTGTTTATTAGAAATTAAAGTTGTCTGTTATAATAGCCTATTTAGTATAAGCTTCATTATATCTAATACTTCTGAAGTCCATTCTGGCTCACTACTTAAAAAGCCATATATCGCTTCAAAACTTGGAGGATTTACTGATTAATCAAAATCTTCTGGTTAAATCTTGCAATATTTAAAGTAGATAGCTTCAATTTATTGAAGATCTAATTCCTCCTTAGATTTGCGGTTATTCATTCTGTAGACCATTTAACTTGCTAACATCAGAAATATATAGTAGATTGTGAAGGAGATAACCTTTAAATTTTCTAATGATTTTTTGGAATACTTTGAAACTTATTCTTTTTCATTATCCCCATCTTGCTTCTACTCTTACTTAGTTTTCATCTGATTATGGAACTGTTACAATTTCTAGTCAGCTGGTTAGAATCCAAGATCTCTTAGGAGAATTTTTTCGAATAAAAAGAAGCCATAAAGTAGCATCCTTTTGGTAAAATTTAACCTTAGAGTTGAGCCGAACTCGTCCAAAATTTCTACTTCGTTTTCATATCTGTTTAGAAATTTTCTGGGAATAAAAATGCCAAGTTTTGTAATTTACTGAAAGAACTTAATTAGAGGATCAGGCATTTTATTTTTAAAAGTTGTATTTAGAATGTTTTATAGTATACACTTAACTCTGATCTGAGCTTGAAGGAATCTCTTTTATGTATTTTTAACAGAAAGCCCTTCCTTTAGAAAGTTCATTTTAAGCTTTTTATTTTTGTCAATTTAAACATATTGTTCCTCGCTAAACATCATGTTCTTAAGGATTGTATGATTAACCTCGATAATCCACGATCGAGCTATCTTTTTATTCATTTCTATAAGTTTCTACATTTCTTTTAGCTAGAGAGCACTTTATCGCATTCTTGAAAATCTTATATGCTTGATATCCCTACAAAACTTACCAAAGCATTTTGCAATGCCTCTAAATTTATTTATACAGCGCATTACAAATGGTTTTCTTTTATATACGATTTCTAACCTATGTCTAAAGAAATCAACCTTGTCTTGAAATATCTTTTTCTTTATTTTATTTTCCTATGCTAGTAATGGATCTTCTTAAGCCTCCAAATCTCGCTAAATTTCATCTTCAATTTTAATCAAGTATTGCTTTGGAGACTCAAATTCTATACCAAGTATCTCATCTAACCTACTATCTCTTATAGACGGGCTACGCCTATAACTTTAGCTACTTGAATCTGAGGAGAGAGTTAACTACTTCTTGTAAGAGTTTACTATAGATTTCATTGGCTTGATTTTTACCTCCTCTAAATCATGATCTGGACCAATAATTTTCTTTATCTTTTTAGACATTTCTACGTGCTATTATTTTCCTACAAACGATACACTTGGACTTAAAGATTAGTTTTGATTTGTATTAATTTGCGGAAAAGCTGGCTGACTAAGCATATTAAAACTTTTATTCCATGGATTCTAGGCGAGAGAATTTACTCTCTGTTATTAGTTTGAGTTATTTTAATTGATTTTCAAAATATTTACGGGACTCATAGAAATGGATTGATGAATGCTTGTTGGGCTCTATCTCAAGCTATTAATTTATCCTGAACTCTAGTTTTAATTATCTCTACTTGTTTCATCAACTGTGGATATAGTCAGCAAACTCTTAATTCTTTCTTTTTGAAGTTTTTTTATCTCTCGTTTAAGATCTTTATATCTTTCAAGGTTTTATTTCAAACTCTCATGTTCCTTGCTATAGCCTCCCATTTGTGAGATATTCTCTTTTCTATAAGCGATCTAATTTTCTGTATATATACTGTTATTATTATTGATATGAGGTAACGATTCTAAGCTAGATTAGAAGTTAATGATGTTTTATTATGGGTACATTATACCTAAGCTATTCTAGTTTTAGATAGGCTAATGTACCTAAATCTTTCTATTCAAGAAACCGTTATCATTTCTCGCGTGTCTATCAAATACAGATGGCAGATAGTGTGGGCTGTTGTGCTGACTATCAATTGATTAGTTAAGTCTGAGGAGATTTTGAAAATCATTGTTAATTTTGATTTTGTAATTCATTCTTTAATCTTTGACTTAATTCAATCAATAATAATTAGCTGAATAATATTACATCATAATATCCACACAAACAAAGAATCCTATCTCTAGGGGTTTTGGGGTTTTGGGGTTTTGGGG